CAGTGATTTTTATTCAGAATGTGTCGGTAAATCCAGTTAAACTGACTAATTGTACTCTCTTTATAATGAATCATGCAGCTGGTCAGTGTCTATAGAGCTTCACTGCACTGACACACTGATCTGTATCTGCTGAATTCCATCAGCTACACTCAGTGAGCTCAGCTGGGAGTGACGGAACGTCGTGGTTATTCTGATGAATTGCGTCACTTTTCTGACCGCAGTGAAGACTGAAGAGCTGTCGGTCTCATCACACGCTCTTAAAAAAAGATGGTTCAATGGTCCTATATAATACCATGAACACTCAAAGAACTGGTTCTATGCTTAAATGGTTCTCTGCATGGTGTAATGGTTCTTCAGACTGATGGAGAACGTGTTATAGCACCAAAAAGGGTTCTGCTATTGTTGCGATGTCAAGCTTGAACCATTCCACCATGCAGAGAACCATGCAAACGATTCTTTGAGTGTTCGCGGTTCTATACAGAAGCATTGTCTTTACTCAAGAACCACAGTTTGAGAGTTTTTAAGGTGGAACTACTGCTATGCCATGTGTTCCCAAACTTTTGACCAGCACTCACTCCAAACCGCAGCATGCAAATCCCATAAACCTCAGCGGCGAGCGATCTCAGATAACAGCACACTGTATTTACACAGCATTCACTGATTCAGGAACACAGATAAACAAACAAATAAATCAATAAACAAATGATCGACCACTCTGACTTCTGCACTGTGTTACGACAGTTACAGACATGATTCACACCACCGAAAACAGCACATTTTCACAAAAGCACCAAACATGCATCACAAACTTCAGCCAAACTATATTTATTAAATATAAATGTAGTTTCACACTGTTTAATTGGTAATAAAACAAAACATCATTTACTAACTGAAATCTGCCCTTTACAGTGATATAGATTACTTTACTGTTGACTATTAGATATAATCCATTCTAATACCTTAGAGATTATACCTCTTTATTAATCTGAATAAACCCTGACTGGTATGTAGTGGCAATTGAATGAGCAGTAAACAGCAAAATTGGAAATATCTGATCCATATTGGGGATGCAGAGGGACAAATCTGCTCCAAAACACAAAAAGTGTGAGTAAATAAATAAAAGCCCAGATTTTCCGCAATGAAAAGGTGATGAAGCATCTCTAAGTTCTGCTTCTTAAAGAATATTCTCAGAAAATTTAACATGCTTAGAACCAATAGTTAAAAAATTATGACCGATCAAAGACTGAGCACCGTACGCTGAAATTAATAATTAGGGCCTTAATTAATGAAAAGACTCTGTATCTCAGACACTAATGAAGATTCAGGGTGAAAAGGCTGCACAGTGACAGAATGAAGCAAATCTGAGGAGGTCAGTCAGAAGTAGAGCTGAATGATCAGGGGAAAATATCTAATTTCGATTTTTCTGACCGATACTGTAAAAATATTGTGTAAAATTTGCATTTCTGAGAACTTTTAGTTAAAATTCAGGACTGTTTTCTTTGGACCACAATATCCATTCTGGCTTGAGGCTCGACCCCTGAACGTCGTGTGCCAAACTGCCAGTGAGTTGTGGTTGTGATGTCACAAACACATGGAGGTTTGGTTGCCTCTGATTGGTCTAACTCTACAGGCAGTTCACAAGTGTTATACGGTTCAAACTTCAGACGTTTTTAATGACGTCGGCTATATTTTAAAAAACCGCAGCTCTTGCGGTTTGAAAACTGCGCTCTTAAACTGTGATTTCCATATAACAGCGATTTATCTTCCTGGTCAGAAGGTCTCCGGTCAGTCCACGCAAAATCACTGACGGCCTCCTGACCGACCGTCTCAGAGCAGCTCCAGCCACGGAGACTCAGAGGTTCAAACTATGAAGCTGAAATCTGGAGATGTGGCTCGACCCACCTGCATTCACTCAACCGGAACCAGATTTCATGCGTTCGTGATGCTGGGCTTCTCGGAGGAACCCTTTGATCTCTGCCCCACACAAGCTGAGCAGACCAAACCACGACCAGCCAGAGACGTGAGTTATTACAGCCCACGCGGCCGGCGGCGCACATTCCAGCTCTGGGCAGGAGGGAAATCATACTGCTCTGTTCAAACCTCCAGCAGAAGCCGGAGCGGAGAACAGCGGACAGTCCTGATCTCCAAACCCTCAAACCCTCAGACCAAGCCGGGTCTGGACTCATACCTCCACTGCTGTGGAACCAGCTCTCCGTCCTGAAGGACGTCTGTCATGTTTCTAACAATTCACAGCTGCAAAAGGGCGTGTCCAAAAAAACAAGGCTGGAATTCAAACATAAACACGCAGGTAAACGCCCGACAGGACACCAGTCACTCTGATTAAAAGGTGTTGATCTCTTTCATCGCATCAATCAATGGAATCAGTCGTTCCTCTTGAAGGACGCCTAGCCCAGTCTCTTTAGGATCCATCTAGACCAAGAAGAGTATATAACTTAGCTAAAGCTACAGGAGCTCGTCTGAGGAACAGATCCTCGAGATTCGTGTATATTTCCATCAGTGGAATCTGTGGGGAACCGAACAGAGCCGTCAGACGCAACCAGACTCCACTCGAAGTTACAATTTCCTGTTATTGCAGAAGTAACAGCATCTGACACCTAAGGCACCTCCAAAACCTCCACAACCTACCAAACCACCAAAAGCCCCCACCAAACCTCCAAATCCCTCAACAAACCTCCACAACCTACCAAACCGCCAAAAGCCCCTACCAAATCTCCACAACCTACCAGGCTGCCAAAAGCAACAAACCTTCAAAACTCCAAAATCCAACAAACCTTCAGAACCCAACAAACTCCAAGCTCCAAGACTCAAACCTCTAAATCATACCAAACCTCAGAAATTCAAGACACCTCGAAAAACTCAGAGATATCCAAAGCCCAACAGACCTCCAAGATCCAAGAGACCCAAATCCCAACACCCCAACACACCTCCAACACTCAGCAAACCTCCACGACCTACCAAACCTCCAAACCCCAACAAACGTCAAAAATACAAAGACCTTAAAAGCCTAACAGACCCAACAAACCTCCAAAACCCTGACAAACCTCTAAATTCCAAACCTCCAAAACCTACCAGAGACATGCAAAGAGGAGTGAGGTGGGACGGGCGCACTGGGCAGTCTAACGTCCCAGACTCTCAAACTCGACCTGTTCTAGATTAACATCTCGAAAATCAAATAAATCACCAAAACTCACACAACTCTAAAGCAGCGGTTCTCAAACAAACCCTCAGATCCACCCTTCAACCTAACTCACAATGCAGAGTAGCGCAAACATGTGGGCCGTCCAGAAGTCCAGGAGGCCCCGAGGACGTGTCTGAGAACCACTGTTCTAAAGAACCGTCCACATTACAAACAGATCTCAGACTCTCAGTGTAGGTGCGATAACACTCAGGACGTCCATGCGCGTCTGAACAGCGACCTTCAGCAGAGTCAACAATCCACACCTGATAAAAACTCAGTTTAGAACCCTGATTATGAGCACTAAAGGAACCGAAACTGCAGCACAACATCAGCCAGCACATCATATTCAAACAGCTACACTTAAGTAGCCTTATTTTATAATGAGCATCATAATTTCTTCAGACTTCACAGGTAGAACAGAGGCGTTCTAGCTAAATGACTGATCTGAACTCCTTAAAACACTCTAATACTACACGAGAGAAGGTGCCTGGACAAGTCTGAGCTGGAAGGACAATTTAGCGGGGCAGAATAATTACACACCCCAAACCTGAACCTGTGTGAGCAGTGCAGGTAAACACACCTGTCTGTACACCTCAGCCCAACACCCACCACACACAGAGACACAAAACTGAGCATAAACCACATAAACAGAGTTTCTGAGCACCAATTCAGCTAATAAAACATTGAAAAGTGGCCTGATGTGCAGAAACTCTAAACCACAGAAGGCCCAAAGCTCCACCGTGTCCACTCTGGTGTGCAGGTCAGTAAACAGTCAGCTTTATTTCAGTGTGAGCCGTCTGGACCAATCAGATGGCGAGGAGCGGGTTGAGCGACGCGGTGCTTGGCCAATCAGAGCGCGAATCTGGTTTCGGAGGGGGGGCCGCCGTAAATCATTGATTTCTTTATGTTAACGGCCTCCAGATCAACCCAATCAACGGAGAAATGTGAAAAATAAAGGAGCGAGAATGTAATAAACAAATAAACAGGCAGGAAAGAAGAGAAAAGCGAAGAAACGGATACAAAACACGGAGAAACGGAGAGAGAAAATCTTCATTCACACGCAAGTAAACTGACCAGGAATGTCCGAAAACTGCCCAACAGTTTCCTAAAAGCTGCCCCAAAAATTCTCAAAACTGACTGAGCTGAAGCTACTTGTTCGAAATTTTCCGTTCCACCTTAAATGGCGCTGAGGCGCCAGAATGTAACCGCTTTTAAGGTGGAACGGAAAAATTCGAACGAGAAGCTCCCGAACTGGAAACCGACTGCAGCCTCGTTCAAAACTGGCCCGAAAATTTGCCACGAAACTGCCCCAAACATTCCACAACCCTGCCCCACACTGCCCCACCAGAAAAACTGCCCCAGCCTGCTCCCAAAACTGCCCGAATCCCAAAAAATCCAAATGTGTGCCAGAACACAGCAGCCCAGCCCAGCACAGAGCTCCCATTACTGTCGGTTCTGCTGAAGACAAACAATTCCAGCAACGAACAACTTCAAATCACCGTCATGTTCAGCTGCTGCCAGTCAGACCCCCATTACCCCCATTACCCCCGCTACTATAATTCTGTGAACTCGCCAGCGGCGAGAGCCGCTCTCAGCCATTTTAATTCGTATCCCAAAGCGCGAGTTCCTCCTATTCTACCCTCAAATCTCCACCGGACTAAGTCTAAAGCTCATCTGCTGATTATCAGCGCTTTGAACCGCTTTATTCCGCCTTTAAACCGCCGCGGAGTGGCCGGAGGAGCGCAGGCCCCGAGCGCATCCCCGGACTTTCCTAGCAGAGCGCGTCCGCCCGAGAGCTCACCTTCCTCTGCTGCTTCTCCCAGGCCGGGTCCAGCAGCAGGTCTCGGTCCCAGTCGCTCTCCGGCTCCATGTAGCTGGGCTGGCCGGAGGAAGAGGCGCTGTTGGCGGCGTGGTAATCAACCATGGCGGGCAGACCGGGGCGCCTCGAGTCTCTCAGCCGAAAATAAACGCGTTGCGGTTCGGTCGACAGCGGCGGAGACAGTCGAAGCTTCGGAGATCCAGCGGAGCACTGATACACCACCGCGGGAGGGGCGGGGCAAATACCAGACACACCCACCGTTCGTGCTGAAAAGGGGGAGTGGCGATGCGCCTCCGTCCACAGAGGAGGGGTAAATGATCAGGAACGCCCTCAGCTCATTAATATTAAAGAGCTTTACAGGCGTGTTTTTCCTCGCTTCATTTCAAAGAAAAAAGTTATGAAACATTGTTATTCTTCAAAAACACACATAGAGAATTTTATTCATTTTTAAAATTTAATAACATGTTTTACGTCTATTTTTCTAATTTATGTAAGTTTATGTGCAATTATATGTCTTGCTTCTGTAACGCTGCAATTTCCTTTGGATCAATAAAGTTCTGTCTATCTGTCTATCCATCTATCTGTTTATCTGTCTAACTATCTATCTGTCTTTCTGTCTGTCTATCTGTCTAACTATCTATCTGTCTCTCTGTCTGTCTCTCTACCTGTCTGTCTGTCTATCCATCTATCTGTTTATCTGTCTAACTATCTATTTGTCTGTCTGTCTGTCTAACTATCTATCTGTCTCTCTGTCTGTCTATCTGTCTGTCTGTCTATCTATCTACCCATCTATCTATCTGTCTCTCTGTCTGTCTGTCTACCTGTCTGTCTATCTATCTGTCTGTCTATCTGTCTCTCTGTCTGTCTGTCTGTCTATCTATCTCTCTGTCTGTCTGTCTACCTGTCTGTCTGTCTGTCTATCTATCTATCTATCTATCTATCTGTCTGTCTGTCTCTCTGTCTGTCTGCCTCTCTGTCTGTCTGTCTATCTATCTGTCTCTCTGTCTGTCTGTCTGTCTATCTATCTCTCTGTCTGTCTGTCTACCTGTCTGTCTGTCTGTCTGTCTGTCTATCTATCTATCTATCTATCTATCAGACTTATCTTATGAACTGACAGAGCAAACTAAAAAATTAAATAAATAAACTGAAAAACTTGCAGTTATCTGTCATGACAGTGACAGTCAGTTCGACATCCTGCCCTCTAGACCTCGTACAAAACAATTACAATCTTCTCAAGAAAATAAGACGTTCTTAGGAGAACATTTGAGGAGCTCCTGTATCCAAATTCCTTCTTAAAACCCGCTTACGCAGTTTTCTCGAAGGCTCTGACTCACCAACGTTTTCTTAGGTGGGATTAATTCTTAGGTAAGAACAGAATCTACACACACTCAAGAGCACAAAGGTGAGAACGGTTCTACGCTTTAAGAACACGTCATGAATCTGACGGAGACTTTTTCTTAAAACCTTTATCAAGAACACACTTAAGAACAGACTTAGGAGGATACTGGAGAACGAGGAACTTTGATCTGAAATACAGTTCTCGAAAAATGTAGCAAATTCTCAGATGTTCTCCTAGGGAGGTCTTATTTCCCTAAGAAGATTGTTGATGTTCTTGTGTGGAGCCCATCTGTTGTCATGTAGACCTTTAATATGATCCAGGCCTGGGTCACTGCTATACCACTACACTACGATGGTTCTTCAAGGGTTCTTTTGCAAAGGGAATGGTTCTATTTAGAAGTATGAGTTCCATATAGAACCATTTCATGCTTTGCATGGTGAAATGGTTCTTCAGATTGATGGAGGATGTGTTGTATATGGTTCAAGAACCATTTTCAAAAAGAATCTATTTAGAAACTTATACAACACGTTCTTCATCAATCTGAAGAACCATTTCCCCATGCAAAGAACCATTCAAGCATAAAATCACCTATACAGAACACACGGTTCTAAATAGAACCAATTGCTTTAGTAAAGAACCCTTGAAGAACCATCCTTTTTTAAAAAAAGTGTAGGATAAAGACACGCCCACAGAGCATTAATATTAAAAATGCAGGACAACTGTTAAACTATTACAGAGTGGGCCGTGAAGACACGCCCACAGCTCATGAATATTAAAAAGCCGGACAGAGGGCAGAACATATAGAAGTATAGATCAGAAAAACATTTTTTCTGTGGAAACTTTTTAATGTTAAAACAGAATTTTAATGATATAAATCTGGACGAGTGGGAACTCATTACTGTATGAATATTAATACCTCATACATATTTAAACAAATATGTAGTGAACACAAGACTAAAACTAAACTATAATATATGCTCCAAAACACTTCATGAATAAGCGGAGGAGGCGGAGCCGAACGCTTCCCTGATGAATATTAAGCAGGAGATCAGCACAAATATTTCATGAATGTTAATGAGCTCTCGCGGCTCTCCGAGTCAGACCCACCCAGACATTCCTCTCTCTGGCCTTTTCCCGTTCTGCGGTTCTGTGAGCGTTTCAGGAAACAGGACTTCAACTTTACAAACCAGCTCCGCACTCTGATTTTGAAGGGGTGTAAATGTCTCTGTGTGGAGTGAAATCAGTTATCAGTGTTATGAATATGTATGAGTAATAGAGTTAGTGTAATGAGGTGAGTTCTGTGTGTGAAGCGCTGCTTCACTCTGTGCTGTTATTATTTAGGGCGGAAACGCTGAGCAGGTCTGAATCAACAGAACAAAGCCTCATGAATTATTCATGAAGAGTCTGTCCCTCATATCTTTCACCAGTTGGCCTGATTGTGCCGTCACAACGAGCCCCGTTTCCTCCGCTTCGATTGGCTAGTACTGTCACTCCTCCTGCACTGTGATTGGCTAGAACCGTCACTCCTCCTGCACTGTGGTTTGCTAGTACCGTCACTCCTCCTGCACTGTGGTTGGCTAGTACCGTAACTCCTCCTGCACTGTGGTTGGCTAGTACCGTAACTCCTCCTGCACTGTGATTGGATAGTACCGTAACTCCTCCTGCACTGTGGTTGGCTAGTACCGTAACTCCTCCTGCACTGTGATTGGATAGTACCGTAACTCCTCCTGCACTGTGGTTGGCTAGTACTGTAACTTCTCCTGCACTGTGATTGGATAGTACTGTAACTCCTCCTGCACTGTGGTTGGCTAGTACTGTAACTCCTCCTGCACTGTGATTGGATAGTACTGTAACTCCTCCTGCACTGTGGTTGGCTAGTACTGTAACTCCTCCTGCACTGTGATTGGATAGTGCCATCACTCCTTCTGCACTGTGATTGGATAGTACTGTCACTCCTGCAATGTGATTGGATAGTACTGTCCCCCCTCCTGCACTGTGATTGGATAGTGCCATCATCCCTCCTGCACTGTGATTGGATAGTACTGCCCCCCCTCCTGCACAGTGATTGGATAGTGCCATCATTCCTCCTGCACTGTGATTGGATAGTACTGTCCCCCCCTCCTGCACAGTGATTGGATAGTGCCATCATTCCTCCTGCACTGTGATTGGATAGTACTGTCCCCCCCTCCTGCACAGTGATTGGATAGTGCCATCATTCCTCCTGCACAGTGATTGGATAGTGCCATCATTCCTCCTGCACTGTGATTGGATAGTACTGTCCCCCCCTCCTGCACAGTGATTGGATAGTGCCATCATTCCTCCTGCACTGTGATTGGATAGTACTGTCCCCCCTCCTGCACAGTGATTGGATAGTGCCATCATTCCTCCTGCACTGTGATTGGATAGTACTGACACTCCTTCTGCACTGTGATTGGTTAGTGACATTACTTCTCCTGCACTGTGATTGGCTTGTGCCATCATGATTGGATAGTAACCTCACTCCTCCTTCTCTGTGTTTGGCAAGTAACATCACTCTCCTTGCACTGTGATTGGTTAGTAATGTGTGGGCAAAGTGCTCATGAGTACAAACCACAAGTGAATTGCAGCTCATGTGGTGGTGAAATAAACAAACTAGGCTGAAGGTCAACGTTGCACAGTTTAATGTTTTTCACGACTTTCATTTTATTTTCACAGTCGTATAAAATGTAAAAACAACGGAACAGTAATGTAGCGTCTGATTGGCTAAAAGGCTGAGTACCCTGAGCTGCTTATGAAACCTCTCATAACAGAAACTCATATTCTCCATACAGTCTCTCACAATGTTTAACTGAGACACATTCAAGTCCAATGAAGTCTGTGTGTTCAGGTCTGAGATCAGTTGTACAGAGTCATATGGAGCCACTAGAAAACACACAAAGAAAACTATCATTACAAATAATAAAATATAGATATATTAATTTACATACCGTGATGCATAATGTGAGTGAATTAATATAGGAACAAAACAATAATTCAGATTTCATAATAATAATAAAGTGGTCAGTGAGTGAAAGCACAACATGGGTGTTTCTAATAAAGCGGTCAGTGAGTGGAAGCACAACATGGGTGTTTCTAATAAAGTGGTCAGTAAGTGAAAGCACAACATGGGTGTTTCTAATAAAGTGGCCAGTTAGTGGGAGCGCAACATGAGTGTTTCTAATAAAGTGGCCAGTTAGTGGAAGCACAACATGGGTGTTTCTAATAAAGTGGCCAGTTAGTGGGAGCGCAACATGGGTGTTTCTAATAAAGTGGCCAGTTAGTGGGAGCACAACATGAGTGTTTCTAATAAAGTGGCCAGTTAGTGGGAGCGCAAAGGAGGTGTTTCTAATAAAGTGGCCAGTTAGTGGAAGCACAACATGGGTGTTTCTAATAAAGTGGCCAGTTAGTGGGAGCACAAAGGAGGTGTTTCTAATAAAGTGGCCAGTTAGTGGAAGCGCAACATGGGTGTTTCTAATAAAGTGGCTAGTGAGTGGACAATGGAGATGCTGTATGGTTACCTGTCTGTAATTGACTGAGACGGTTCCCATCCCGACAACATCAAAGGACTGAAACTTCCCTGCAGAGAAAATGTGAAAAGAAGCAGACACTGTTAATAATCTCTCTCTCTCTCGCTCTCTCTCTCTCGCGCTCTCTCTCTCTCGCTCTCTCTCTCTCTCGCTCTCTCTCGCTCTCTCTCTCGCTCTCCTCTCTCTCTCTCGCCTCTCTCCTTCGTCTCTCTCTCGCTCTCTCTCTCTCTCTCTCTCTCTCTCTCTCTCTCTCTCTCTTGCTCTCCCTTCACGGATCATGGTGTCCAGTTTGAGCAGCAGGTAGAGGAATCCTGGGTAGCTGACGGTCAGATCAGGCTCAGTGTAG